TATGTATGTATGTGTCTGGCCGCTTACGCATCGGTTCTCTCATATCACCCCTTTAACTTGGAGTTAATTTCCTCCTCCTGCACGGTGCACGGTGGCAGCGCGAAGGAAGAGCTGCAGTCCGGTGAAGAGACGCTTTATTGCAGCCTCAGGCTACTGCTCGAGTCCAAGCCCGAACATGTGCCCTTTTCTTTCAGATTCAAACATCCTCTATTCAACCCTCGGTTGAACAAAGGGTCTTCACACAAGCCAATCACACGCATGGGCTCGCATTGCCACAAGCAATTGCAGAAACACTTTCTTAATAGGCACTGCATTGGTAAAAACCACGTTACCAAATAAAACACGCAAAGGGATTCCGCGTGTGACACTCCGAAGGTTCTCTGCGTGTGACACTCTCTTCCATGCCAGGCCGTGCTGGCTCTGTCGGCCGACTTCCGTCGGCGGCCGCTCTCACGCTCGGGCCTCGTCAGCTCTCTCGTTAAAATGTTGAATTGTAGAAGCCTCCTTAAGAGCGGTGAGAACACCGTTGGGCTCTGTGCGCTTACCAGGTGTGCATGCGACAGCGAGGCGCCCCGACATCCTAACAACAGCGGGAAGGTTATGCTCGTCTCCCTGCCGCCACTATGTCTGGGTCAGCTAAGTGGTCGCGTCCCCGCGTCATTCTCAATGGCACGCGTGCACGCCAACAATGGCCTAAACTCAGACGGCGGCGCCTGGCCTGCTTCTTGCCAGACGCTCTTCCGAGTAAGCTTTCCCCTTCTAATCCCGGACGGGGGCGACCTTGACTGCTCCGCTAGTGAACCGGCGAACGAAGAAGTCTCCTTTCTTTCCCGTGCTCAGGTCTTCCGCGTTCGCCTTCGCGGAAACGATCAGCTTCGTTAGTTGACGGGACGGGAGCTGGCTACGCGCTCTGCATCAGCCGCATTATTTGCGCTACACGCAGCACGCCGGTAATTGTTGCTTCATACTAATTCTTGGGGTGAACCAAAAGAAGTATGGGAGGATAAAATGGTTTGGCGAATATGACTCACTGGTCATGAAATAAATAATTGCAAAATAGCGTCGCGTACGTCATCAAACACTAAAAAAAAAAAGTTGCACGTATCTGTCAGCGGCTCTGTCACAGCGGGTATCCGTCACAGGTGTTTCACAGTTTATGTTCAGGAACGGCGAGAACCGAAATGGTATAAATTCGACGCTTGATTGTTTAGAAAAAGCGGATATTCGCAGCGTTGATCGGACAAATGCAAAGAATAAATATCATTGTCCCACCAGAAACCTAACACTAATATCCTGTGTGCTAATCAAGTATTGCACTTCAGAGCCATGTCAGGTACAAGAACTACCTTTCGAATAGACCCTAATGTTCGTGAAACGCCAATTGTGGCTGCAATGCTGGCTTTCCAATTTCATAAACAACACATATGTATTCCTACAATACAGCCGTCACGTCCGGTTAACATCAATTCTAGTCAGGTGCCATCCCCTTAAGTTTATTTATGTAGCAGTGTACAGGTGTATACGTTCCTCGCGAGAAACGGCTCTTTATATCAGCTTACCGCTTTTAGTGTTGCTAATATCCATGTTGCGGTTGGTATCCTTACACAACTCTAAAAAACTGGTGTTATAAAACATGCATACCTGTGCCTCTGCCTGCATTTGTACGTAATTTTCGCACAACTTCGTAACGTTTCGCTCAATAAAACATACAACACATTTGGCTTGCATGTGCATGGTTCGCATAACACCGATTCCGAAGGTGCGTGGGATCTGCCGAGTTTTTTCATCCCACATATGTGAACAGCTTGCCTTAGGATTGTAACTGCCACATATGAATTCATCGGTAAAGCTGCCGAAGGTGTGCTAAAATGTAGAGAAATAAGTTCATCACACCAGTTAATTACGATGGTATTGCAGCTGGCTGTATTGCTGCTGCCGAATTTCTTCCAAGGCATATAACTGTTTCCAGCTGTTTGACCAAAACTGCGGATCACTGCACCTGGAGTTTGTACGCGATATCGTTGCTTGGAGGGACACTACCTTCAGCCGGTGCTTAGGCGCCGTAACCGGCTACCCGTTTAGAAAGCAACAGGGGATATGGTACACAATGACGTGCTGCTTGACGCCGCTCCGTGACATTTGTATGATTGTTACGTTGTCGGTATGAACTGCAGAAAGAATTTGATGCCTTGTTAAAGATGGCTGCATCAATCGCCGCGCACGTGCCATCGCAGACGCACTGACGCGGCTGCCAGTGTCAGCTAGGTCATTTAATAAATAAGCGAAGCCTAAGGTCCCGTTTAAGGCACGGTTTGATGCACGCTCAATCATTTTTCCGAAAACTACCCCGAGAGCAAGGCATTGACAATGTTTATCTAGATCCGGTGTCGGCAACCTTCTAAGGAAGAAAACCAAGTTACATGAAGCTTGCCTGGGGGGGGGGGGGGGGGGGATGGACATCAAATCGGGAGAAGGGGATGAGGCTTTGCAGTCGAAGAGAGAAAGTTTGGCGAGCTGTCTATATTGCGAAAAGCTGCCTATTTTCTGGCTTAATTGGCTAAAAACTCTAGCTAAGTGAGAAGATGGGGAACAGTGCCATACAGAGCCAATCTTTCCTTGTCTCTATGTAACCCCTTGAGAGGTCGAAATCGGCCGATTCGGCCTTACTAGTAGCAATCTTTGGGCCAGTTGGTGTCAGTTCTTCAGGATCTCGTACACACAGCGCCCCACGACGTGGACCAAAAGAAAAGCGGACAAAACTCAGTGTGGTTTTTTTTTTTGATTTCGAGATAAAACGTGACAAGGAAAAGGGGCATTCTGTTGTCATTCAAGGGACCGCATAATAAAGCCTGGCGGGCCGCAGGTTACCGACAACTTGTATCGGTGAGCGCCATAATAAGGAAAAAATTGGCAGACCCCACTGTGCAGTGGGAATCGATGATATGCGAAGCATGAACGAGAATCGTTGATATGTCATTGTAAAATTAGCACAACGTTACGTGGTGGAGGTAAATGATGCCGTACATAACTTCCACGTTATGTATATTAGGGGCGAAACTCTTTATAACGGCACCCGTTCGTCCCCCGTAGTATGTAACGAGTATATCATTTTTACCTCCAAGGTGGTGCCGGTGAGAGACTTCTTCTGTGCGTTGTTGAACAATAAAGAATAGTGCTCAGTGTACATGCCAATGGCTGCTAATGGGGAATGAGAGACAGGAGCATTCGGCTTTTAGTTAACGCGCAGCCTGCGATCACCATTAGCCGCCACTGGCATGTACATTGAGCACTAACTGACAAGAAAGGGTTGCTACGTTATACTCGCTGGGTGTAACCTCCTTAGCTTTAGAAAGGTTTAGCGAGCATTGAGCCGCAGTGCCATGAATACAATGAACTTGTATATACCATGAATGAACTCGAGGTGGTTAAAAATGGGAAGTAGATACGAAGCGCAAGCCGTAAGAAAATCAAAGCGGAATTCTCCGCCTCTCATTTCCCATTAGCAGCCATTGGCATGTACATTGAGCACTATCTGACTGAAAAGATTTGCTACGTCATACTCGCTGGGCGTAACCTCCTTGGTTTTCGAAAGGTTTAGGGAGTGTTCGGCCGCAGTGCCATGAATACAGTGAACTAGTATATACCATGAACTCGAGGTGGTTAAAGGTGGGAAGTGGACCCGAAGCGCAAGCCGTAAGAAAGTGTGCGTGTGCCACCTCTCGTTTAGTCCTTGGAATGTCCGCTGGATGGCGGTGCTTCTATATGGGGAATATATGATGAAAAGATGCGAGATGGTGGTACTTGGAATCGTTGAATAGATGGACGAACGGACACATAGACAGATGCATGAATGGACGCATGAACGGACGCAGGGGCGGATGCGTGGATGAACGCAGGGACGGACGCACACACGGACGGACGGATGCACCGTCACACAGACGGACGCATGGACGGACGGAAGCAAGAACGAATGGACGGACGAATGCTTCGCCCCACTCTCCATTATTCACTCCGTGGATATGCTGCCAATTTTTTCCCCCTCAGCTGCTGTCCCACTACTGTGGCACTTCCCCGGAATGTGTCCTCTGCAGCGAACATCATGACACCCTTTCCCATGTCCTATTCGGCTGCCTTGCTGATCCTCCCCCGCAGGGACAGCCTGCCATATCAAGCTGGGGGGAATGAGAGGTTCTGCTCTCGTCTGGGGACCCGGCGATGCAACTTGCTGTGCTGACTAGGACAGCCGATGCCTTCGCGGCGAGAGGCATGGCCATGTAGGTGTGGTGCGGGACCGCGTGGAAGCCCAGGGAGTCCAAAAACACTTGCTCTAATAAAGTTTTTAAATGCATTTCTTAGCGAGCTTCGGCTACTTTGATGAAAAGAGGCAAAATGGTGGTACTTGGAGTGTTGAGTAGATTGACGAATAGACACACAGACAGATGCATGGACGGACGCACGGATGGCTGCACGGCCGGATGGACGCATAGACGGACGCAGGGGCGGATGCATGGACGAACGCAGGGACGGACGCACGAACAGACGCATGCACGGACGGGCTGATGGACGCATGGACGGTCACAATGACGGACGCATGGACGAACGGAAGCAAGGACGAATGGACGGACGATTTCTTCGCCCCACTCTCCATCATTCACTCCGTGGATATGCTGCCATTTTTTTGGTTTAGATGTGTCGCTTACCTTCGTCATCTATTCACGTCACGTGATACCGAATTTAGTATATATGGAGCAGCGAAACGGCCGCGAGCACGCTATGAGCGTGGTATGTTGTGATGTTCTTACATGGCAAACGTGTCAGGATTATTATGTTAGCGCCAGTTATATATATTGTTATATTATAACACCCTCGTAGCCACAGACTATAGCGCCACAAAATAGCAATAGTATTGGAAGCATGCATAATAAAATGATAACAAACGATAGTGTATATATCTAACAATGTATATCAGATGATAATCACAGTGGCTGCAATATGAATGATACCATGTAAGTTTCTTGTTATATTTCGTGCTCTTGCACTGCCCGCTGTTGAACAACAAATGTTGCCCAAACATCTTTGTTTTGTAAATCACCGGTTCACTACGTTGAACAGTTCGCATAGTTACGTAATAACATCATAGATGTCGCATTGACACTGCTGTTGCCGTCATGACTCCCAACACAAGCACTGCGGTAACGTGCGACCCTGACTGCCGTCGGTTGGCGTCGCTCCTGCTCGGCCTGGAGAAATCCGCCCTGGCAAGGAACGCGCGTAGAATGGCACGGGTTCCTTCGATATCCGGATGTTCACCGCACTCGTCCGGGCTCATCTGCGCGGTGTCCAAACATCGAATTGCCTTCTTCTCGATTGCCCTGCGAAGGTGTACAACGCCACGGTTGAAGCACCGGTAAATTATCTTACGCACTAGTTTTTGTCTTTACACTGCCCATTATGCAGCGTGTGTTACCGATAATTAAAGAAAAGCAAACAAATAAATAACATAAATAAAGAGACAATTGGAATGGTACAGGACGCATATATATTAAGAAAGCTTGCTTTAAAATCCATACGCTTCTTAGTACTTGATCATGTATTACTAATCAAAACGTCCACCACAATGGAGCAGTATAGTTATGGTGATGCGCCGCTGGCCTGAAGGTCATGGGTTCGATCGCAGCCGCAGCAGTCGCTTTGCGAAAGAGGCGCGGTGCCAGAGGCCCGTGTGCGATATCCGTGAGCGTTGAAAACACCAGATAGACACTGACGCTCACTCAATCAATGGCTGTTCGGTGGTAGGCCGTTTGTAATATGGCCGTATGATCGTTTAACGAGGTGGTTCGCTACAGCGAAAGCTGTTATGAGATCACAACACGGGTCTCTTGCGGCGCCACAGTCGTCTGCCGCCGCTGCCGCCCGTAACCACCATCACGATAAAAAAGAAACTCAGTAAATAAAGAAACAAGGGTACAGTAGGATTCGCAACCGGGTCCCCTGCGTGCCAGCCCAGTGTTGTACCACTGAGCCACGCAGCTGCAAACTGGCCGTAGGCAGGCTTGATGTCACGAATGGAATCGCGTTTATATGAGTAATAAAGTGTTTTAGAACAGCAAAAGTACAATCAGCTGACACAATATTGCGGATTGCGCAAAAAGTGGGTGGTCGAATGCTCCAATCGTTTACAAAAGCTTGATATTGTTCACATATTAACTGTTGCGCATACCCACTGTGGCGAATTGTGGGAACTACAAAAGCTTCTGGCATAATGCTTCATCGTCGTCAGTCACAAGACGAAAAAAAATGCACAAAGCTACTCATAAGTGTGCAGCGGGTACCATGCTTCTCCGAGTAATTACGGATTTCATAGTGAATGCCTGTCTACTACACAATGATTTAAGGCGTAGTGGTTACCCTGCAAATGTACTAGCAACAGCTACCCAAGGAGTGTATCAAAAAGGCTCTGAAAGGCCGCTCTTCTAACTTTCGCTGTGAGAGTGCGGCACGTTGCGCGCAGGCCTGGCAGCTTTTTTTTTTTTTTTTTACGCAGCCACACTGAACTGCTCTCTGAATCAACCTTGTTTCAATACCGGATGGCATGGGGCAAGGAAAAAATATACAAGGTGGCACTGCGCTATGTGATCGAAAGAAAAATTGTTATGGGGGGTACAGCGTCCCAAAACAACCATACGATTATGAGAGACGCCGTAGTGAAGAGCTCCAGAAATTTAGGCCACCTGCGGTTGTTTAACGTGCACCCAAATCTGCGCACACGGGCCTACAGCATTTTCGCCTCCATAAAAAATGCAGCCGCTGCAGCCGGGATTCGATCCCACGACCTGCGGGTCAGCAGCCGAGTACCTTAACCACTAGACCAATGCGGCGGGGCTAGATAGATAGATAGATAGATAGATAGATAGATAGATAGATAGATAGATAGATAGATAGATAGATAGATAGACAGACAGACAGACAGACAGACAGACAGACAGACAGAGAGACAGACAGACAGACAGACAGACAGACAGACAGATAGATAGATAGATAGATAGATAGATAGATAGATAGATAGATAGATAGATAGATAGATAGATAGATAGATAGATAGATAGATAGATAGATAGATAGAAGGCAAAGGTGCTTGTAGACGAAAAGAAATGATTCGCATTTAGAATTACTTGTGAGAGTGGACGATGCAGTCGCTACATGTGAAGTTAATTGTTCCTGTACTTTACATGAGGGCTAGCCGCAGGTTCTACACCAAAAAATACTGTCTAACGATGACCACTGCGAAAACAAAATTTTAATACGATACATGCACCTTGCGGGGAAATGAACGTCAGTGTAACCACGAAGCGATCAGTGTTCTGTTATGAATGTCCACTGTTATGATTAATGAGAACTGAAAACGAATTGAAACATCATATTCTCACTCATAATTTGAAAAATTAAATTTTCCATATCGATTTCTGTCCATGCGAATTGGTCGAAAATTATTTATTCAGGGCTGTTGGATATTTATTAGTGACGGTTCGATTGGATGACTGATGAAAGCATAATATCAAAACATGGTGAAACCTCATTTGAACCACCTCCAAGCGCACTCTGAAGGAAAATTTATTACAGCAAAAGTTCACTGAACTGAAACTCTTCTTTTGCAGCTTGTCTTCAGAAGATAAAAAATATAAGTGTTGTTCGAATTGAGTTTCAGCTAACTTGTTTGTTATACTGATTTCTATGTATATGGTTTTTAGCATCATGCAAAAAAGGTGGTAATTATTTAGTATATTGAGGTGCAACGAGGGCAGAAGTTGTGGTCCACATACTCGACTAGCACTGAGATGTACCAAAAATGGCGCGAGAGAATAGGTTTCCAGTCAGTCGAGTTGAATATTTGAGTCACATCAAGTATGAGGTCCATGGGATGGCTATACGCTCTCCCATAGTAGAGTACAAAGTACTCTAAACCATAACCACCTTTTTTCTAAACACAAGTCCATAGAACTGAAGAGCGCTCTGTGGTCTGTTTCGTTAAATTGAAGGGCGTCAGCTCTATGCTCAATGGCACCTCGCTGGTTATTTAAAAAAAACTTCGTACATCTAGGTAGCTTATTCAATTATACGACATTAGTTCAAGCGGTTCTTCAATGCTTCTCATTCTATTGTGAAGTATTTTATTATTCGCATATCTTTATTGTTTAGATGTAATTCAAACACCGCGTTGCTAGACATATAGAATTTCCAATTAAGACTCCATTGTGTGCCCGCACTGAGGCGTTCTTCCTTTATTTAATTTCTGCATTATCGCGATGCAACAGATCAGATCAGATTTGTAAGCGGCATTTCGTGTAGACATTTTTCTACATTGCACCTGGCATTGACTTGTAAACTGAGCTTTGTGTATGAACTCAGAAGTTCCTTTCTTTCCTTTCTTTACTTGATCGCTGTAGGTTTCGCAAGTATGATTCCACGATACCTTCATATATAGCTTTGCTGAAATATTTCATACTCCATTCGGCAGTCGATATGTGTGCATTCAAGTACATTTGAAATACTCACTATTCAAACAGCCTTGGTTACTATACATAAAACTAACTAAACTAACTAGCTAACGCATTCTACGGGTAAATACATATGTATATGACTAAATACCACCAGCGTGTGACCTACACATGAAATCAATACATCGCATATATGACCCTAGGACGCTTTGCTGTTCATATTAGCTTTAAGACGAACCATCTGGGCACAACCAGGTGGGTTATTTAGAGGCACTATTTACGACTTTTATTCATGGGTTCCTAGCTGTCAGGCAGAGAGCTTTAAGAAAAACGGGTCATTCTGCGTGAGTGAACGAACACCATGTTTTTTAGTCCATCGGAGAAACCCCATGCTTTAAACCGGTAGCTGTACAACTGCTCTGAAAAGTTTACGAAGTGCGGTCTACACTGCTAATTCGAACGCGTATTCTCTGTTAGTGCCTGGCAGTTCCAACCTATCATGGTTCTGGGACATTAAACAGCACACATCAATCAATCAATCAATCAATCAATCAATCGATCGATCGATTCTAACCTAGCAGGTAGCTGTATTTGTCGCAGTGACAATATTACAGGGTAGAACATCTATTCGGAGGCTATACTCTCAGACGTTACAAGAATGAATTCTGACATTTTCTTCCTGCGCACACTTTAAGAGCGGTGGTACTTCTGCAATTGAAGTGAAGAAGACATCGTTGAGTTAATCTGAACTTCAAGCTCAGCCGAAGTCAACACCGGCGAAACACTACTGCCGCACCTTCATGAAAGCGAGCAACAGCATAACGTCAATCTTTCGTGCACCAGTGTCAGGTGTTCTGGCTGCACAAAACTTCATTGTATTGTCGCGAGAGCAAAGTTTCGCGGAAAACCTTGTTCTTTTACGGCTCACAAGCGGAGCAGTCAAGGTCACCCCCGTTCGGGATTAGAAGGGGAAAGCTTACTCGGAAAAGCGTCTAGCAAGAGGCAGGTCCGGCGCCACCGTCTGAGTTTAAGCCATTGTTGGCAGGCACGCGTGTCATTGAAAATGACATGGGGACGCGACCACTTAGCCTGACCGAGACATAGTGGCGGCAGATAAACGACCATATTCTCCCCCGCTGTTATGATGTCGGGGCGCCTCGCTGTCGCATGTACACCTGCAGTAAGCGCACGGAGCCCAATGGTGCACCCATCGCTCTTAAGGACGCTTCTAGGAAGCAACAATTAACGAAAGAACTGACGGGGCTCGAGCGTGAGAACGGCCGCCGACTGAATTCGGCCGAGGGAGACAGCACGAGTAATGTTGGGCAGCACGGCCTGGCATGGGAGAGAGTGTCCCGTGCGGAGAACCTATCCCTTTGCGTGTTTCATTTGGTAAGGAGGTTTTTACAAATGTAGTGCCTTTTATGAAAGTGTTTCTGTGATTGGTTGTGATGATGCGAGTCCCAACATGTGATTGGTTTTTGTGAAGACTCTTTGTTCGACCAAGGGTTAAAAAGAGGATGTTTGAATTTGAAAAGTGAGTGGAGTCGGGGTCAACAGCGGATCTCACCACCGGAGACCAGCTATGCAGGCCGAGGGGTATGCCACCATTTTCTATGTTTTGTCTTTGTGACCCAGTGCATTTTGTAAATTGAAGTTGTGTTAGCTAAATAAACCCCCAATGAGTGCTCCCCGAAATCATCGTGTTGACTTCTCATCGATTGCCTCCGCGGAGTTTCACCCACACTTATTCGTCTCCCTGGTCGTCCGATGTGCCTAACTTTGAACAACCCCGACGTTTTCGCTGCAAAATGGTGGAGGTTGCTCGGTAACGATAGTCCCGCTCTAAAATTATGCCCCGAGTCAACAACAAATAT